TCCCAAATACCCACAACGTTTTGTTTGCGAGGCTCTAGCGTCGGCACGGAAACACGTACCGGCATTACTTTTATACCATTTTAAAGCTTGGAATCTGAACTTTATCCCTGGTGAGTATTGGTTTGATATTTAAAAGAGAACATACTTGTTCAAATTCAGGCATGTCGAAAACAAACTCAACCAATTTCAAGGAAATTATCTTGCTTTGCTGTACCCGCCAGTGTCCCCCTCTCAAATCCCAAATTTGCAGTCAAATGTACCCCGTTAGTGTGGAAATACCCATTTCTGAGATCTTAAGTTTCACGAAAAGTTAAATGTTTGGAACAGTTACACGTACAGGTACATTGTAGTCCTGAAACAGTAAGGAGAATAATGCATCATAACGTTGATTGTTGCAACTTGCAGTCATTACTTAAAGAATGACTCAAGACAAATTTCTGTTGCTACTGGCCTCGCCAAAGACAAGCTGGCATCCAAGCCAAGTCTCAGTTTACAGCAACTACATGTACACATGAATGTATGCCTGCTACAGTTCCATCCTGCCACTGTCACATTTACATCAACAGAGGGCGCAAAACATTACATCCCCAGTTCACTATCAAGAATCCCAGCAAAATTGGCAGTTTTAAAATGGGGCTTGGTATAGAAATCATGGCGAGAAACCAATCAATGGAAATGTGTTCATGTGTATCAACAAATGCAGTACTAATCCTCCTGCTATCATACGTGTACGAAGGTCACATTGAAAAGTGTGACATTCAGTTGTACAGTAAATACGCTGTATTACATTTTGTGCACATTTTCAAAAATCGACACCTGACATACATGTATCTATGATCAAGAAAATAACGGTATCCAAGACATACCGATACAATGTACAAATGTACATGTATATGGTTTAAAAGCACCCACCTAAAACTTACTGATGGTACACTGGTGCACGGGTCAACTGGTACACAGAAAGGGCTTAAACAAGATTTGGGGGCCGGCACACAGCGAAACTGGGCCAAATACAAAGCCAGGAAGCAGACTTTACAGAGATCTTCAAAAACAGGAAATAGGCATTTGCTATGAAATAGTAACATTACCGTAGAGTTTACCGCATACCGTAAATACTGTAGATACTGTAGATACTGTAAATGCTGAACGGAGACACTTGTATCGTTAATTGAGTTTCGGCCATGGACGTGCACAAAATGCTAAAACATTTATAGGCTAGTCTGCCTGAACTAATTTCCGCTCCAATCCTGGGGGGCTCCTCCCCACAACTTCTCTTCATCATCATCTCATCCATCCATCTTGTTCAGGAATATGATAGCTCAACTGATTTAGGGTGACTTATATCGTACATGTACATTTGTACCCATGACGATTACATGTTCATGCAGTTTGCATGCTGTGACATTTGATGCAGTTGTACGTCTTTTTGCTAGGATACGTCCTCAACCCTGAAATATCCTCCAACTGCTGCAATGTTAAAATTAGATACCTGAGCCTCAGACCCCGTTCCCACTTGATCCACCAATTGGGGGATCTGATCCACCTTTTGCCAAATTGCCGGATCAGATCCCCCAATTGGTGGATCAGATCCGGCAATTGTGTGTAGTGGGAACGCTAACCGTTATAAGGTGGATCAGGATCAGATCCACCTTTTCTGATCCACCTCTGGACCAGGATAGAGATCCCCCAATTGGTGGATCAGATCCGGCAATTGCCGGATCACGATCAGATGGGAACGCAAAAGGTGGATCTGATCCGGCAATTTGACCTGTTAACATCCGCCCGGTGCACGAGTGGCGCGAAAATGTTGCGGTCTCATGAACGAAGAAACACGTTTTCAGGCGTGTAGCTCATGTGAACATTTCCAGCGTATACAACATGCACAATAAACAACCGCTGAACTACGGGCTAGCACCGCGCATGCAAAAGCGCACGTGGTATCCTAAAACTACACTATATAGGCCTTATTTTTGTTGCGTGTTCGTCCATTACTAAACCTTTTTCATTCCTGAAATTTTACTTATTTTTCCATCCATAAATGACTCTGAGTCCGCACTCACCAAAAGACTTCACTTTGGCACAGAATCATGGAAAAGCTTACGAGTATGCGATGAGAATAGTGCCGATAACGCGGTACGTACGGAGGTGACAAATCTGAAGTATTGATTATAGAAAATTGGAAAATGATGTCGTAGTACATCATGTGACCGTTTCTAACCAATGAGAAGCTTCAGAACCAGGGAATCCCTTATCGATGCATTGGTTTCTGCCGTGATGTCACACAATGAGCGGCTGTGTTGGATTTCACCTGTTAATTTATGCACGCACGGATCCTCTACGGATCCGTGATTTATGTTGGTGAATTCGGGTAATTTTTGTCGGTGAATTCTGATAGTGCTGTTTGAAAACTGACCCATCCTGGCCTAGCATGCAACCATGCAACAATGGCACTCCCACAGAGCGCGCGTAATCCCGAACTCAGTGACCTTTCGGACCCAACATTTCCGTACGAAAAGGTGGATCAAGCATAAGTGGGAACGCGACTTGCGGTTTCGTTGCGGTAAGATAACGATCACACCAAAATGCCGGATCTTGATCCACCTTTTTTCAATTCAAGTGGGAACGCGGTGTATGTCCTCCAAAAGCATCCATTAGAATCCTTTTATGGAAGCATGCATTGACAGCCTGGTTATTACTTGGGTCAATATTGGTCAAGACCCCCATTGGTTTGTACACAGTATGCCAGGAGGTGTGATACAAACATTTTGACCATTGGTGACCTCTCAAATAGTAGGACTAGGAGGGTTGGTTCTTGAATTTCTTCACCAGAGGGGATGACCACTGCCTCAATCCTTCAAAAACCTCCAAAAACCTCCAAAAACCAATATAATAAATAGAGGTAAATCGCTCGGACATTTTGTCCGAGCACATCTGCATTTGGTCGGACAAACCATGAAAGTGGTCGGAAAATGTCCGATGTCCGACTGTAATTTCACGCACTGCCAGGCAGTACCGATGATATCCAGAAGCAATGTGGATGATTTCATCATCCAAGCCCACTTTCGTTCATGGGTCTAACAAGGTGCAGCCTGAGACCTTGATGCAATGCGTCCTCCAAAATCAACTGACACATTTTTGGCCATACAGCTTGAATCCCTAGAAATCTGGCACTCAATGGAAAGAAGATTTTGGAGGATTTGGGAAGGTTGGGTTAATTAAAGGGACACTTTTGCCTGATGATATGCACCCTTTTGGGCTCTTAAATGCATTTCTCTCACAATGATAATGTTTGGAAAGTTTGCTTAAAATAACAGTAGAATATAAACATTCACACATGTATACCGGTACCTGAAAACTTACTGTTTCCGTGTAATTGTGAATTTCGGGTTTCAAAATATTGATCCTCAAAAATCCAGCTGCCTAAACAATGTACTTCCTGTGTCACAACTTTGTTTTTCTTTTAAAAAATTGCTTCAAAGTTCAAACGTGTACATTGTACATGTATGAGCTAGGGTCCCAACCTGTAGTCTGAAACAAGCTCAGTACCAAATATAATGCACTGTCACTTACATAATATGAATTTTTGGTGCAAGTTTCTTAGTTTTTGCCTAAAGAAATGCAGCCATGTAAAGAAACAGGTTTTATTTGAAAAAAAATATCTTGTGTTTATTTTTTTTTCAAATAAACTCAGCAACAGAATACAATTGATTTCTAAATTCTAACTCTCATGAGTTACCAAACTTCTAGTTCTATGAAAGTCAATTCCACAAGATTTTCAGTGATAATCTCCATAAGGCCATCCTCAGGTGGCCCTGCGATTTGCTTGCGCCGTAATGGAACCATCGGCATCAAGAGGAAAAGCCATGCTCAGGTCACAAAGCTGAGAAATTGTGTGATTATCGTGGTACAAGTGACATCTCAACACAGAATAACGACAACCATTATCATGTCGCGCACGACCCGACGACAATTCCACGGCATAGATGTGATCACGTGACTTGTTCAAAATGGCCGCGCACATGGTTGACTTACATAACTCTTCCACACCCTGATTGGCTACACAATAAAATCAGATGATCCGGATGCGAGCACGATGTTGTAACTTCACACAGGTCAACTGCGATTGATTCCTGCCTGTTGGAAACACAACACATTCCATCGCAGCGCAGAAGTTGTTCAAAGTTTCTGGAAAGTCAGTCGCTGAGTCTTCTGTTTCGTCACAAGATCGACTTGAGGGCTGCTTAAGGCATTTCCACTTTGGGAAAAAACATGTAATCTGGCTTTCATAGTACCCTTGGAAAGCCTGAACATGTTCCTTTCATTGACTATGATTAAACAATGGAGTAAATCAAATGGCCATTGGATCTTCGATTGCCAAGCTTGGTATGCCAAGCTCGTACACTCCTGCTAGCATACATGTTTGTGTAACTTATTTAGAAACTTGTGTTTGTGTGTGGTTTTAATTCTGAGTAACAAAAAATGAACACAATTACGTGTACAAGAGTTGCAGGGATGTTCTTGTTTCAAAAGCCCCCTTCGGTTCAAGTTTACAATGACAATTTGGTCCAAAACAGTTCTAAAGTGTTTTGGAAAGCATGTTATTGTTAATGTGAAGTATGTGAATACCTTTCACTGTTCATATTCTGCAATGTTTTCAAGTAACCTTCTTTCTTTCTTTGAAACTTGATAGGTACCCAACATAACACACTTCAAACATGTCAAGGTTTGTATTGACATGATTGACTGAATAACTACATGTAATTACAAGTCTAGGCCCTATAACTTAATCATGTTAAGTAATAAACAAGTGAATAACATGGTTAAAAACTTTAAAACAAAAACAATATTGTATCAAACAAATTAATACACTAACTTTGAAAAACAAACCACAGACAGGCTTTGTCTTGCACGGCTGGTTGCCTTGCATTGTTGGGGAAAAATCCGAAGTAAATTTGTTCATGACTAACGTTAGACTCCCAACACTCAACAGATGAACTTACCACAATGCTTTTCTCTCTATTTCGTCTGCACTCATATAATCTGTCCGTTCCTCCGCTTGTTCTCTCGAATCGGATTGCTTAAGAAACACCCTTTCGGCAGCAGCCATTTTCCATCACAAGTTCAGTGTTAGCAAACGTCGCAAGGGATGCCATTTGGGAGTTAGACCGAGGCAAAAATTGTATTACTAGTGCCGCTAGGCCTAGTTCTCGGGCATCTACCCTTCAATTTTGATGGATCAATTGGACGCAAAAAAAACAGCAGTGCGCCGCGGCTAGCCGTCGGTTGCCCACGTCGCCGATTCACGGTGATTCACCGACCACTCCAAACAGCTCTATGTACAGCCAGAATCTCTTCCCGGAAAATACAGCTCCACTGGGCGGCTATTTCTGGATAACCCGGTGCACCGTAATCAGTCGGAAATCTGACCCACAGTCATGGTTAGTGTGAGCAAAACAGGCCGGAAACGAGAAGAAATTGAGCGACTTCTAGACTAAGATTGCAACATTGAAGCATTGCCATGCACGACACGGGTCTCCAACAGCGACTTTGTATACGTTAGTACGCGATGACGTACTGCCGGGTACCAATACTAATTATTTAGGCCGAGGTCAAGGCAAAAGGTCGCAGCCTTTCTTGTTAGTAGATTTGCCACAAGTCTCTCATAGCTCATTGAAAGTTGCATGTTCCTCACACACAACATGATTTTGGCAAAGAATCGTTCACTTGTTTTGACCTATCAAACCCAAGCTGTGTAATAATGAGTTATATTCGTTTCTTCGAGATCTATTTCATGGAAGAGAATAAACCTTGACATCACTACAAGATGATTTTGGTACCATTAGACTTGCCAGGTCGTTGCACATTGGGCGTGATTGAAGCCTGATTGGGCGCTTTTAGCCACAACATTGAAAAGCTGAGTGCGCGCATGCCGCGGCGCATAAACAAACACGGTGTAATTACGCTCGGCCTACTGAGCTAGTCTAGTCTGGCTCTTTTCCGCAATTTCCCTTAGTCTCGTGTTGTTTTGCTGGTTCTAATTCTGCTTGCAAGCATGTTCGCAACTTTGTCTTTGTCGTGAAAACTACAGTGCAACTTCATCGAGACGGCAGTGCAATTTGACACCAGACGTTCCTTTGTCTAGGATCATCACAACATGGAGGAATTCCTTCCTCCATGATCATAACATTAACAACAAGCAGTAGTGGCTACAGGAACAAGTGACCAGTGACATGACAGGCTGTGCCTGTGGGCTTAATTGTGCAAATTTCACCATGTGCAGCTAGGATCTATCCGGGCCAAAATCATGGCAGTATGTTTGATTTGGTATTTTCTTAGTTGTTTTGTACCAAGCCAGTCCCGTTACATGATTGCATGCCTAATCATCTGCAGCCGATTTCACGAAACCTTACGCAATGGCGCAACAATGCTTGCTCAAAAATTTATTGCGTAAGGTGCGCAACATTTCACCCTGCGCAACATTATACTTATGACACATTTCACCTAAGTCGGATAGTGCGTAAGTCCGCAACTTGCGCAATCATTTTAGGATGTACATGTATGTTGGATTGCCCATTCTCGATGACAAGTATTTTTTCAGTTTGTTAAAATATATTTTCTAACTTTTATCATTGTAAATTAAATAAAATCCTTCTTGAATCTTTCTGAGTCACGGCTGTTGAGGATTTTGAAGTCCAAGAACCATTGGTTGACAAGGGATACATGTGAGCAGTGGTCGACTTCTGTAAACATAGCACTGGCACGTCTGATCAGCCACTACATAACAAGTGGAGGTCTTTCATGTTGAAAAGATACATGTACAATGTACACAATGTAGGTTTCTTTCTTAGCCACCTTCAATTGGTTATGAAATTGTAAATTCACCCTGTACCCTGTTGTCTTAAAAAGAAATTATTACATGTGCCCCTGTTTTTGCTTCCTAATTGCCATTGTTATTTGATCCTTGATCTTGTTACCAACTTGTCCATTGATTGTTTTCTTGCAGACCAAGTTCAGAAACAGGCCCAGTTCCAGCACGCCGACCGCATTTCCCAAGTTCAGGTGCAGCTGGCCCAACTGCTCCTTCACGGCCAAGCGCCTGGCCCTGCTCAAGAACCACGTGAGAAACCACAACCAAGAGAAACCATTCAAGTGCCACTACTGCAGCTACAGCTCCGAGTCGCGCAGCAACTGCAAAGTCCATGAGCAGTATGTATATCTGACAGTAGTAGACCGTTCTGGGTGTGGCTATAAGCCCCGCCCATAAGCCCCACCCATAAACCCCACCCACAAGCCCCACCCACCTTTGGTTTGTGTACACTTCTCACTGTGCTTGTGACGAAGTCTGACTAAGGCTCCTTGGTCGCATGATCAAAAGTCGTGATTTTATTGGTCAGTAAACACTTTCTGATTGACAGTCAGGAAGGGTCCATACTAATAATCATATGGTGCTCATTTTAGCACTTATTACAGATGTCCTAATTATTCAATATTCGGCTTTGCCCTTCACCGAGTGAAAGTTGGGAAAAGTCACTCGGGTGGGACTCGAACCCATGACCTGCTTTCTAGTGCAGACGTCTTACCACTCGACCACCGAGCTTGCGGGATCGGTTGGCTGCTACATGTACATCAGATTCGTACCAGCCAACCGATCACGCAAGCTCGGTGGTCGAGTGGTAAGACGTCTGCACTAGAAAGCAGGAGGTCGTGGATTCGAGTCCCACCCGAGTGATTTTTTCCAACTTTCACTGGGGAGGTAACACACTGAGTATACAGTGTTTACACGTCGGTGAAGGGCAAAGCCTGATATTGATTTACATTACCCTGACGTATATTCCATCTTGTGAATAGTCCTAATTATTACCCCTGATCATCTGGCCATGAAATCGCGTTTAATGCAGCAGTTCACGATCAGTGCTACCTACGTGTAGTCTCCGCCCAGGAGTGCAAGTGGATACCTTTGAGGGTACTAGTACCTGTTTAGTCCCCTAGATGGAGAGAGTGCAACTGTTGCTTAGTGTCATGCCCAAGAACACAACCCCATCATCCTTCTTAAGGTTTACAACCTTTCCAACTATCTTCATTTTGATAAATGTGTTTTCGAGCCAAAATGGACACTTTCTCTCAAAACTGTTCCTTTAAATCATTTTTGTGTGTTTGAGATAAATCTGGAGCTGGATACAAAAATGGGACTTGGAAAATGAGCCAGGAGCGAATAGTCTTTAAAGGGTTCATTTTTAAAGGAGCAGTAACATAATAAGCCAGTTCAGTATCTCGATGAAGTAGTCCAGGTCACATGTCATTTGGGATAAAATTGCTACACGTTACAGGAACTGCCACCCGTGACCCATATTAACCCTTACCCTACTAGACCCTCCAACGCATGCCAATATGTGCCTCAAGAAAATCTCCTATGTTTTTTGCCCTCCAATATCTGCCATGTCATTTCAAGGGTAACTGGACAGGCACTCCAATACATGCCACAGAGAACAATGAGAGTCCTCTGATAACAAAGTGAGTGCCCCCAGCTGGTCAGTATCAGGCACCCTCCAGGGCCTCCAACTCCTGCCAATTGGAGCCTTCACAGTCAAGATAGTTTATCCTCCAATTAACTTCAGCTGGAGGGCATTGGCATAACCAACTGACATGCAGTAAACTACCCTCAGAGAGTAAGGGTTATTGTGCAGTTGAAATAACAAACTGGCTTATTGACACCAACCTTATCTTTCAGTTATATTTTGTTGTTATTTAAAATTACAGGCGTATGCACACACTCCAAAGACCCCACAAGTGCCACTACTGCACATACTCCTGCGTTCAGAGCACGACGCTTCGACAGCATATACAGGTGAGACCTCGTTCATCTGGCATGAACTTGGCAACAAGGAAGAAGGCACTGAAACAGACAAGGAGCCATAACAATCCTAGCCCACCCAGATCTGTTATCTAGGCTTTTGTGGGCTTTTGTGGGATTGAGGAGCCCAGCAATGATTACTGTACATATGACTTGATTCCCTTTGTACAGGGATTGTGTCATGGTTCATGCACAGTGGATGATTTTGGAGGCTTTAGTAGGAAGGTACGTTCCTTGCGGGAATTCCTTGGGCGTTAACCCTAACCCCCTAGGCCCTCTCGGCTAGGAACCATCCTCAATCTTGCAAAAATCCTCCAATTGCCACCATGTAAAAAATTGGATTCAGCTTCAATCCTCCAAAATCATCCGTTGTTTCTTGACTTTCTTTAGTGGATTGGTGACCATTGCCTTATCCTTCAAAATCCTCCAACAATCACTATTAGTGGGTCGAGGCAGTGCCGATGACATTCAGAAGCAGTGTGGATGATATCGAGCATAATGCAGGGCTCAATGATGCATGGCTGAACATAAACAATGCAGAGTACAGCCTACGAACTCGACACAATGCATCCTCCATAATCAACCGACCCTTTTTTGCCAGTCAGCCTCAATCCTCCAAAATCCTCAAAAAAATGCTTTGAGGATTTTGGAGGATTGAGGGGGGTTAAGGTTGAATTGAATTGTAGTGTGTAACTTTATAGTGTTAACCATTAGATCCAGACATTTGAAGTAGCTATCTTAGTGACTTTAACACTCATACAGTAACTGTTTCACGGATACCACAATCTTTGGTAATCTTAAAAGCGAATTTCATTGAAAATGTGTCCCGTCGTGCCATTGCATTCTGAGCATGATGGAGCGTATTTTTCAATGAAATGCCCCCCGAGATCACCACGTGATCACAAAGAGGGCGGTATCCATCCATAACACGGTCTCTTGTGAGGATATTAATTGCATTGTTATGTTCTGTGACCTCCTCTCGAAGACAAACTTTGTATGACACGAACAAAGTGTCGGAGATGGACATTTTAGATTACTGTTACAAGTAGGTGTAAAATTCCGCTGTCAAATGTGGGGAGAATAAAACAATGGCAACAAAACTTATTTAAACTTGTGCTTCTCTGAAAGACCTCATTTTAATTTAACATCCAGTGAAGAGAACATGTGGGGGAAAAAATTCACTGATTAAATTACGATGAATTTCCTCTGTTCCATTCTATTGTTTGTATATCACAGATAAAACACAGGGACCGATGTCAGTACCGTTGTTTCCAGTGTCGCAACTTCCACTGCCAGCGGGAAAGCCAACTCATGTATCATCTCCTCAAAGTCCACCAGAAGACCACCGTCGCGGAGATCTCCCCGTACCTCAACCCCAATTACCTTCCGGATTACCTGCCCAGCATGGGCGAAATGAACCCAAAGCCGGCTGACGACGGGAGAATGGCTGTCGGCAATAGCACGGTCCCGCAGCGACCCTCACAGGCCAAGCTACGCCAGAACCGACGGTACAGCTCAGCGCCGCAGAAGGCTGTGCTGCAGATTAATCCGACGCCTTGTAAGCTCCTCAGAGCCCCCGCCAACAGTTTCTCCAGCAGCAGTGCTGTCGTCCCCACAGTGTCACCAAGGATGTCACAGTCATTCCACGTCCAGGAGGCAACGAAGTCCAACGTGCCAAGTGCCAGCATGTGGGCAACGGGCAGGAGAAGTTCAGCCGGGGCTCAGTATCGGCGACAGCAGCAAACTACGCGACAGGCCAGCCTGAATGACCTGTCAGAGCACAGTCTGCTGGCTAGCAGCTCCCTGATTGCACCACTGGATGATGGCCCCGAGGTCATAGAAATCATTGAAAATGAGGATGAGGGTGGCGTGACCGCACAGCAGGAGATGCAAAGCAGTAGCGGCATCTATGTTTGCAACCACTGCCTCTCGACATTCCCTGACGAGGATAGCCTTTTGAGCCACGTCTTGAGTGTCCACCCTGATACCACGACTCTCCAACACTGCGAAACGGCAGAGGAGAGCCCACACCAACAAGATGTCACACACCAAGACAGCATTACGAGTTCCAGCAGTTTCGTGTTCTTTCCCGCAAACCAATCTTCAGCGATGGAGATGTCCCCCACGCCTGTATCCATTTCACAGGATGACTTTGTGGTACCACCCGTCGTGAAGCAAGAAGATGGAGCAAGTTCCCAAGTTGGCCAGGAAATTTGGTCTTCCGTGGATGACAAGGTTGCGAGTGATGCCGGGATGCACCGCAGAGAAAGGCACAGCTCGGAGACACTTCCTGAGAGTGCCTTTGTTAACGTTCAGATCCAGAGGAGCGCAAGTAGATCAAGTCATGACAGCAACTTCAGCCAGCCAGTGTCGGCAAGGGAGGGCACCCCTCTGCTCAGTATGCCATCGCCCACAACCACACATAGCAATAGGGTCACGGTGTCAACCCAGACTGTTCCATCCTCAACAGAGAGGGGTGGCGCCAATGTAAACCAGACCAAATATTGCTGTGTTCATTGCAACATCATCTTTCCCGATAATGTGCTCTTCACCATTCACAGAGGGGCCCATGGGTTCCATTCTCCTTTCGAATGCAACTTCTGTGGCAAGGATTGTGCCAACAAGCATGAATTTGCATCCCATCTGCAAAACTGCTCTTGATGTACCAAAAGGGACATACATTGTATCTGTGAGCAAATGTGTGCAACAACTTCATTTTTTCGGGGTAACAGTTGATGCAGGTTAACATGTTGCTTCCAATTAAAAAAATTCACTTTTAATAGAATCTTCAATGTGAAGATTGAAGTAAAGCTGCGAAATTGCTTCCATAACCCAGCCACCCCAACCCTTCAAAAGCCAACTGCATATTTTGTTGGAATCTGTTTGAGTGAGAACTGCACTAGTAAACTGATTATGCTTTACATGGGGTCATGTAGGCATACCACTATAATCAGAGAGTCCAACAGTTTGGCTGTTGAGTTACCGTAGGGTATTAGATTTTGCAAGCGTGAGGAAGGATCCTAGTAAATCACTCAAGGGGTTGGGGCTAGTACCCAGAAAGTTGTTGCAGCACTTTCATTTGCTGAAAACAAAATGGCTGTACCCTTGCTCTACCTGATCCTCCATCAATATCTGGCAGCGCTGTCACTGGTTGATTTTGGCCGATTTGGTACTTAAACGTTTTGTTCAGGGATGATTTTGATTGATTTGAAGGGATTTGGTACTGAAGCATTTCTATGCACAACTCAAGAGTGATGGATTTTGGTGGACTTGGGATGTCCCCCAGTGTTTATACACAGGGAGTGCATGTGCAGGCACTAGGCCTGGGCGAGTAGTGGATTTTTCTACACGAGTACTCGCGAAGAAATTACTCGTGAGTAGTCGAGTACTCGTGAGTAGTTAACTGAACTTCCATAAAAGCAGAAAAATGATATGACGGGAAGTAACTACATTGTTCAAGCAAATAGCGTGCAATTCACCCCACATCCTTCAGCACTAAAATATCCTTACTGTGTGTCGTTTTGAGTCATTTACTTGAATTTTTGTTTTGACGAATGGAATCCTAGGGAGAGAGCGGTGGAGGGAGTGATTCCCTGTTTGCAGGGGATGTATTAAGCCTTGAACCCTCAACCCTAAATTGCTACTTGCAAGTACCTGCTTCTACTCATGTAAGGCAAGTACTGGAGTAGATATGAAAAACCACTAGTAGAACAATGAGAAGCATAAACTACTCACGAGTACTCGGGTAATCAAGTTACTCGCCCAGGTGTAGCAGTCACACAAAAAATGTACACATACACATAGATGTACATGTACACAGCTTATCAATTCTGTGAATAATTTTTACATGCAGGTGAACAAGCTTGCCATGTACCCTTGTGCATCATGAAATACGCAAACCTCTTGATGAGAAGTGCACCGAAGTATGCTCATTTTCATTGACAATATCAATTCCGTAAAGCACAACGTGTACATTGTACAAATGTAAAATAAGACTTTTTTTAAATCAGGCTGCTTTACAAATTGTTGGATTGAAACATGACAACTCTTTTTTTTAGCTTTATAACATAACCTTTGTCATATGCTGAGATACATACAGTAAGATGTGATCTATAGGTATTGTGTGGAGATTTTTAAATTGCATTCTTTTCTGTGCATGACTCTGTGCATGGCTAGCAAAAGCTTTTAAGAATAATTGTCATAAAACAGAAAACAGTAAATATAGGAATTTTAAATATTGTACTCCAAGTACAAGGTGGTGCAAAAGGAAGGGAACCCACTTTTGACAGCAATTTTCACCTTCTTGTTGGGCATATTTCAAAATTTAATTTTTTAATGGTATTAAAATATTGATCTTTAAACATAAGTGACGAAAAACTGATTGTAAATGCATATTTTGTCTCTGAGATATGGTAGTTTAAAAATTTCATGTTCCAAACCTGTTTGTCCACGGACGGCTTTATTCCATCCACTTGACTGAGCTCCGGAGCTTGATTTGAAGACAAAAAACACTATACTAGACTTACACGTGGACAACAGTGATTTTGGTGACTTGTATTCAAATTAGCATAATAATGCTATTCTTGCGATTAAATAGATTTTTTGAAGATTTTTTTTTCACAGTTTTTTTTTTTCACCACGTTTGAAGAGCTATACTTCACTGCATTATAAAAGGAAATTAGTTCAAATGAGTTAAGTAAGTAGGGTCAAAAGTGGGTTTCCATCTTCTTGCACAACCCTGTACGTGTATTTTGACAGTCTCTAGAAGACAAACTCAACTTTGTCCTCCTTCAGATACACCAAATTTAAACTGGGACCACAGTTATATAATTATTGTAAATTATTTTCTGGTAATGAAACCAAAGATTCCTCGAAAGCGCCCTATGCACTGTAGCTCACAGGCCTGAAAAAAAACCCGTAAAGTGAAGAAAATGAAAAGAAATGACAGTTTTAGAGGTGGGAGGAAAACCCCAGAAGAATATTCTGGGCGGAACCCTACAGAATCAGGCAGGGACTGAAAACCCAATCCACATGTGGCCCAGGGCAGGAATCGAACCTGGGCCATAGAGGTGGAAGGCGAGGAAAGAAACTACTGCACGAACCTGACTCCCTGCGGCAACCTGACTTTGACGTGTGACTCCTCCGTTGTATGAATGTGAAACTAAATGTGGTCCAGCACTGAACACGGGTAGAAATTATCCATGTGGGAGTTTACAGATTTGTTTTCTAGGAAAACACAGTATCTATAATCTACCAACGTATCCTCTACAGATAAGCATTTATAACTTCCTGTTATAAAAAAAACCTGTTCTTTGAATCATTTTAAAAACCATGAAATGCAAATTAACAAATTGGTCGCAATTGCCAAACCACAAAACTTTCGTTAGTAAATGTCAGCAGCTTGCCAGGTTGTTTGTTTGGTTTGTATGAATTAATTTCATATTAGCGAAACGTTTATTTTACTGGTTTCCCCCGATAATCCCAGAACAAACGGACCAAAATGTCAAGTGAATACCTCTGACTGTTTTTCGGAAATCGTTTAGAGTTGGTTTCAATTAACATGTTTATTATTCATGAACTTCTCCGAAGTTGTTGTTCCGTTATTTGCTTCAACCTGAACTTTAAGACAGTACAGTTAAATTTGTGTTTCCGAGTACCATTGTTGATTGAACTGTTTTGGTTTATTTACCAAAATCATCAGAACAAGGATTAGAGTGTCTAAACCGTAGGGGCGATTCCACGGTTACTCACGTTACATTTTTGATGTATATGTACTTTTGAGTTTCCTTGGGCTGCAATCACCTTACTGAAAAGGTTTAATAACTGTTATCCCCATGGTAGATAGAGTAGACCTAGACCTACCTAAGCACCAAAGATGACATCCAGAAAAATGTGTTATGTATGATAAACAAGACGCACAAAATCGGTTACTCACGTTACATTTTCGGACGTGCATAAAAAGCAAACATGCTTTGATCAAAAAGTGTCCTCATACAGGCAACCTGTGGAAATTTCTTTCAAATGAATAAAAGACCAAGGTTTAGGTCTACTCTTTCTACCATGGGGATAACAGTTATTAAACCTTTTCAGTAAGGTAATTACAGCCCAAGGAAACTCAAAAGTACATCAAAAATGTAACGTGAGTAACCGTGGAATTGCCCGTAGACCTCCTTTGTGGTTTCTTGTTGTGTTGTTGTGTTGTTTTTCTTTATGAACCAGAAGGCATAAAATGTTTCAGTATGTGCCAAAATTCTCGCCTCAATGGATGTAACTTATTGGACAGATGTAACTTGTAAATGGGTCATTCTAGAAATTTAGGATCCAAATTCTGACATTTTCCTGTCTCTGTTACACTTACATGTACCTCTGAGCTTTGTAATTTGCACTTTTTAGGTATCATTAAAGGGAATATACAACATTTGCTTTTGCTGTAATTTTCAGAAAAAGGATGGATTTGGGGGTTAGTATTTTATAGCAAATATAGTGTCACTGACTTGTTTGAAGTTCTGTGTTCGTAGATGCTGGAAAAAACTAAGAAAAACTATCAAGTTCCTGTAGTCTGGTTCCCTGAACTCACTTAAGATGAAACAGCAATTTATAGACGTCGGACTATAGGGTCAGGGAACCAGTCTAGCTGGCTTGTACTCGTTCAAAATACATGTCGGATGTAACAGGGACAGGGACAAAAGTGGACCCCATATTTATTGTATTCCATGCAGTGTGTTCTCATATATTTTTTTGTCTAGTATACATGTACATAATTTGTGAACTGACAGTATTAGTGTCTCATTATTTCCAGTGATGCACAAACAGTGCTTAGATCTGCATTCTTATGGCCATAAGTGCATGATGTGTGTTGAGCGAAAGTTCTGTTATTTCCGTGAGATTTAAAGTTACAGTCCATCATTTGCAGCTATCCAAAAAGTATCTGACGTAATTATTGTTGAAAAACATACTTGTTGAAAGATAGTAAGGGGGCTAAACTCCCTGTGAAATTATTCTTTCTGGCATGCTGTCATTTTGAAGGAATCAACGAAAGAAATCCTTTCCAACGGTGTGTCTATAGACGCACCGTTGAAAATTTCGGTTACAAATTCGTATTTTTTTTATTCGGCGAAGCGCGCAAGCGTTGACACGACGCACACGCATGCACGGTTGTTTTAATTCGTTGGTTCAGTGCTCGACATTGCATAGCTGCAATCGACTATTTGAAATCGAGATCCTGGAATGTTGTTTTTCTCGAAATATACAGCTGAAGCCGAGCTGAAATTTCATCAGGTTAGTTGTTCAGCACCCTGCTTTAGATTGTGAGCACATTTGTTGCTTCAAACGAACAAAATTCACAGCTTACAAATGATGGACTGTACCTTTAAGGGAATATGTAAGCACATTGAAAAAGGGTATGAATGCGTGAGTAACCAACAAGCTGTGCACTTTTCCATACTTAATCTACATTCTACATTTAGTTATCCTACATTTTGTATATTTTAACATAACATTTTGTATGTGAGTGTCAATGGCGGCAGGATTGTGAGTCTTTTGCATGCCACTTTTAAAATCTTGATAAACTAAGTGAGTCGAGTGTAGAAATGTTTGCATATTTTACTTACTAGACATGTTTGCATGTTCCAGTATTTTTTACCAAAAAAAAAAAAGATTACCTGAAATTTTAAAGCTGTTTTTTGAGTTTGTTCTCTTAAAAAAAGGTGGTGTATGAACCTGTAGAGTTAGGTTCACTCCCCTTCCCCCGGAATTTAGAAAGCCTGGGCTGATAAAAATTCTATAAATAAAAGACACCCTTTGTTGTGTAAAGAGCGCCCTCACTGCTGACATTTTTTTTGCTCCGTAATAATAGTCTGGATTTTCTTTTGGAAAGATTTGGGGTACAAAGAGATCTTTTGAACTTTCAACTTTTGGGAAATTATGGAAATTGTACTACTTCTTTGAGGAGGGGTGAGATGCAAACTGCTAATTTCAAGAAAATGTTTTGAAACTCGTTGGCTTCCTGACGAGACAACAGAGATTTTCGGCAGTTTATGGGGGGGGGGGGGGTATGACTAGGATATTAGGACTGTAGTAAATGCGAAGACGGACACGGAAGAATTCATCCCCGGTCATCTGGCCGGATTCAGGATGTTGGCCGACATCGGAAACGATAATTGTTTTTCCACTGAAAGTAGAAAGAAAAGGTATCCTTGAAATATGTCCTTGATTTTATGACTGATTCCAGGAAACGCAAACAAATAGTTTCCGTGTCGATAACTTGCACCGCCTGATATGACGAGAAGTATTTCAGGTGATTTTTTTCAGCAGAGAATGGGCTACCTTACACGTCAAAGCAAGTCTGATTTGTCTCGTTGAAAGGTGAAAATATTCAGATTAGTTTCTAATAATCCTTGAAGCAAACACAATATGTCAAAAGAGAGGGCGCTATTGCAAAAAATGCTAGTCCAGTTTGACGCAGTAAGGATTCGAGTTCAGTCAAACCAACAGCGCGCGGTACGTGGAGCGAAGTCATAAACATAATAATTGGGTAAACCGGGATTAAATCTATAACTTCCAACCAAAAAATTGGTCTTTTTTCGGGCTATTTTTATCAACTGTGGTAAGAACGGAATGCTGGGTGCTCAAATATGCAGGCAGCAGTGTGGGTATACCGCGGAATCAACGGGTTTAGGTGGGTGGGGGAGGGGTATATAAAGGGCCAAGACAAAGTTAGTGGGTGGGGCAAAGATTCCCCTGTTGTTGTTTTTCGGTAGGCTGCAAACTATTCCTTAAAAAAAAAAGAAGCGTCATTCGCCGCATTAAGCGCTGTTCATGATTACAAATACGCACCGATCTCCCAAATATTTTCTCCTGTAAAAAAAAAGGACGAACAAAGCGCGCGATCTTGGACACTAGAGGACAATAAATGGCGCTATTCCTGGCGAAACGTTTGCCGACAGGACGACGATTTTGCCGACAAAAACGATTCATTTGGGAGGCGGCGTGACCTCCCACACATCCTCTAGCGCTAGCAATGCCTGTGCTCGTACCATCACATATTTTGTTGGGGCAACGCGAGTATTCTGGTCCATGCTCGCAAAGCAGAAGAACTCAGGATCACCTATTGTTATTTTCAACGAAATGTATGTCTCTAAGAAAGGAAAGAGGTCATCATCACCAGCATCCTTATTAGGTTCTGGCGCCCTCTTTTGTCCTTAATCTTGATTTTTTTTTTAAATGCCCGCTTGCCTTGCTTTATTACAATCTGTAATCCCCTTCACAATGATTACGAGGTGTTTTCGTCAGACTGCTTTTTTACGAACAATTACAAGCT